GCGCCGCCTTGATAATTCGGCATTAGCGGTAGGGCAGTCATGGTGCTAATGGGCTTATGATTCCAAGTAGCATCTACAGCAGGAGCGCCTACGGCATTTATCCGAAGGTAGGCAACGTCGTTGGGGAGAACCTGAAGCTTCGCATATTGACAATTGGCTATCATGTGAAACGTTACCGGCGTTAAGTCTTCTGTGCTTCTTGAGGGGGCTCCGACGAGAAATGAACTGGGTTCCTATTGTTATCTTTTTTTCTGTAAGGTAGTAATGGGTGGTCATCCTCATCAACGATCCTAAACCCAGCATTGCATGAATACCCCGTGTTAATGCTAATAGTACACATGATTAATCCCAGGCCCCCAACCTTCACCCACAGCCCGGTGTCATACCAATGCTGTTCTGAGTACTCCTTTTCCTCCAGGTAATGAAGAAACCAATCTTCCTTCATGTGTGGGATATTCATATATTACAGGGAACAAGTCCTCTTCGCTAGAAGGGGCAGCAAACATAGTTTGCTTCTAGAGACTAAGCACCGTAAAAGTGCTAATGGTCTTATGATTATAGGCTGTATCTCTTTGATTTTCTATGCTATTTATGCAAACGCTCCCTGAGTCATCTACGCGCATTTGCAGCTTCACTTTCCCGTGKCAATCAGCAACCATGTGGAAAGTCCAAACCGATAGATTTTCGGCGCTTTGGGGGTTGGGCTCTACGGAGAAATGCGCAGGCTCCCTGTTGTTTGTCTTATTTCTCATAGGCTGCAGTATGCCATTCTCATCCAGGAACCTAAAGCTCACGTTGGCATGACTGCTCGTACCAATACAAATACTGCATATTATCAGCTTCTTTCCTGAGTAGTTCAGGTCCACAGACATCCCAGTGACATCAACCCAAGATGCCTGGGCGTATTTTTTCTCGCCTGTGTAAGTCGTATAGACACAATCTACTCCAGCTACGTAGGGGTTGTTCATCGCCATATATAATAGCTCAGACCAACGCCTGCGGCGGCTAAGCCGGCTTTTAGTAAGTTATGGTCATATTCCTCGGTAACCTTCTTTGATGGTTTCTTTGGTGGCTTTTCTACATGCGCCTTCTTTGATGGTTTTTCTACATGTTCCTTTTTTGGCTTCTCTACGAAGTGAGGAATGCCCTTGGTCATGTCAGAGTTCACGTCATTCACCCCAAACTTCATATCCTTAGTAGCTCGCTGAAGTTTGTTGTTATAACCCACAACGGAATTGAYGTTGATGACCAAATTACTTGGCATTAACCAACAACCAGGCGACAAAGCGTAATCTAACCGCACTTTGGATTGCTGCACCGCTAATTGATACCTTTGAACTGACTTAGAGATCTCATTCTCAATAACAGCGCTTTCGAAGAGGACAARGAATACTTGTTGCGTTTCCTGCGACGCACCACTGGCATCTACGATGGGGCTGCGAGTGCTAACCTGTGCTCCTAGAATGCAGTAAACAAAGGCTTCGATGCTGCGGTTAATCCTTGCTAGATTCTTTAGGCCCACCCCTTTGCGGCAAAGAAAGGCGCCCAAGGATACTTCTCTTTGCTCTGAATAAAGTAAATTAGATTACCCTTTGTTCCGCTGCCTCCTAAGTCTGAGAATTCGTAAGAGCTAGGATATCCCATACCTGGAGTTTCTATGCTGGCACCAACATACGAAGCATAGGTGTAAGTTTCTCCTAAACCATGGGCGGCACCCTCTTTGTTGCGAAAATCAGGGTTGGTGAGCTTAAACTCATTCCTTAATCGCTCCCATGCGACTTTGTCATATTTGTTATCCTTTGGGTTAAAGACAGTGTCACCAGGAAGCGGCACTCCTAACTCAAACAATATCCTACGAATAGTAAAAGCMACATGAAATCTTAGGAAAGGAACATGGAACATGTCCGCGGCTATACCACATCCTTTAGTAGCAGCCCAGACAGCAAAGTTTAACTGCTGCGGCCAATACCGCATGTTGGGGCCTGATAACCATTCTCTGGACTCCTTCCCTGAGGTATGTTTCATAGCGGTTTCTCTAAAGATGTCTCTGACCTTTGTCTTGAAGGTTGCAGGACCCACGGGAATCTCCAAAGAAGTAACCATCTTAGCAAAGTCATTTGCACCATCTTTGTTGTCGTAAAATGGGTAATTCTGATTGGTTACTAATAGATCCTTTGGAAAGTTGGGCTGTTTGCTTACCTTTTGCCTTTCTTTATGCACGGGTTTTGGCTTAACATAACCGGGCGGTAAAATCTTAGGATGCTTTGGCGTAGGTTTCAAATCGTCATACACCTTATTGGGTTCTTGACGATGCTCAAACATCTTTTCAAGATCTCCCCGATTGAAGTAGTCCCCATAATGTGGCTGCTCCCCAAAGTCATTTCCAAAAGCGTCGTACATTAGTATATATAATGGATGTTATACCATCGGCACCTAAGTTGTACCCAGGTCTTCCCTATACGGAGCCCAACGAACTAAACGCTGAAAACTTT